GCAAGCAGCATATCATACATGAGAAGCGGCTGGGTATGGCTAAACTCTTAAACCCTAAACCGATCTTCCTGAGTTCAGGGGTCTTGGGCACTTGGAGTTGCCCCATACGCTCTGAACTCCAAATCCTAAGCCCGGAAGCCCTCAACCTCAAACCCCACCTTATCTTTGCTTTGCTTAGAAGGGAATGGAGGAATGGGGTATAATTATAACTACTCTTACTACGGTTCTTCCATTCCCTACTAACCAACGGTAAGTTATGACTACCTTCTCGAGCCCTTGTGCGCCCATAGACCCTGAACCCTTAAAGCCCCTGAAGCAGCTCCTTGGGCCGTTGAGTAGAATCCAACTTCTGCCCAGGCCGTTCGGCTCCTTCCCAAAGTGCACCTCGCCCAAGCACCGGGATCCTTTTAGAAGGGCGTGAGTAGGTAACCTTTGACCTTTTTAGGGGTCGGGATCCTTTTAGAAGGGCGTGATTGTAGAGTAGGTAACATGGGGTACTCGAGTCCTTATATCTAATGCTAAAGGTTAGCCTTTAGTTCTTCTAGGATACTGGGCAAGTAAGACGGTGTTCTATAGGGTTTCAAGTGGTTTGTGTGGTTTCTACAGTGTTCCTTGTTGAAAGGGATAAGTTTAACAGCGGCTCATGGGGTTTCATAGAGGGTGTTGATATGGGTTTCATTAGGTTTTACAGGGCCTCTAGTTGGGGCTTATTTCCCCTCGTTGTGGTGCTACATGAGTCCTGGAATCGTTCTGCGGTATTCTTAAATTAAAGCATTCTTCTCGCACCTCGACCCTCGAATCCAGTACCGTTTTGTCATAACCTCTTTTTATGGTCGGGAGGGGAGGTGAAATTGAAGTGCGAAACCACTTACAAAGAAAGTGCTACCTTTGCGGGTGCAACTTTTACAAAAGAGCGACCCTAAATTCAGTTAACCCTTCCTTCCTGACTTTCGACTGATGTTCGTGATATCCAACCGTTCGGGCTTTTCTCAAGGACCACCAGTATTGCGAACAGCGACCCGAATCACCGGATTTCCTGTTAAATCATACAAAGGCAACACAAGCCAAAAGGGAGAAACATCTAAACCCAAGAGCCCCTCAACACCAAAACCCTTAATCCTTAACACCCTATACAAACCCCTAGACCCTAGACCCCTTTCCTTTTCCCTTCCGAAGAGCGCCTAGGGAGGAAGTTCCGGTGCCTTCCCTCCCCCAAAGCCCTTTGAACCCTAAACGGCCCTAAACCCTTAAACAACAGCCCCTAAGCCCACAAAACCCTTAAACCCTGAAACATAAACCTCTTAAGCCCTAAACCCCAAAACCCCAAAACCCTTAAACCCCAAACCCCTAAACTCCAAAACCCCAAAACCCCCTAAACCCCTAAACCCCCTAAACTCCTACACTCTAAAACCCCCTAAACCCTAAACCCCTAAACCCCCTAAACTCCAAAACCCCAAAACCCCAAAACCCCCTAAACTCCAAAACACCCTAAACCCTACGCGCGACCAAGGAATTTCCGAGGCCTTCCCTCCGAAGAGCAAGGAAGCCATCCTGTTCTGCAGAGTCTGCTACGGCGGACCCAGGAGCGTTATGTAGGGGCCTTAATAGTTAGACTAAAGGGCTCCTTAAAGGGATCTATAGGGTTCCTAAAAGGGGTCTATGGGGTTTAGGGTTTAGGGGCTACTTGGAGGGGCAGGGGACTTAGTAAGTAAGTAGGTTATAAGTAGGGTTATAATTGGGGTAACTCCATTTAGGGTACTTATAACCTACTTACTAAGTCCCCTGCCCTTCCAAGTAGGGGCCTTAGTAGTTAGAATAGGGTTTCTGTTAGTGGTCCTGTCAAAGGGTGCATACGGGATCTATGGTAGGGTTCTATGGCAGGGGCCTTGATAATGAGAATAGGGTTTGAGGTATATTATACTATAAGTATAATAAGGTAATAAGGAACCCCCACTATAGTATTGGTCCATTATTGAGGCCCAGCAGTGCGTCTTTGGTTTAGGGTGAAGGGTTTGTTATTTTTATAAAGGTTTGTGGGTTTAGAGATTTTCGGAACAGGGTTTAGGGGGGTCGCGTTTGGGCCTAAGGGGTTCGTTTGGAGTTTGGATTGTGAGTGTTGGTTTATGGACCAGGTTAGGATCCCGGATATTGAAAACTCGCGCACCGGCAAGCATAGAATCGAGGCCAGTGGCCTTCACCATGGTATCAAAACCAAACAATTTGAAACTCCAGCAAGGACTTTATTTGGGAATCCTGCCCGAACCTAAAACCCTTTTTGGATCAAACGCTCAAGGTGACCCACCAGGTGCGTGGTAACGAGGTCTTTGGTGTCGGTTCTTATACCTCGCATATGGTGCTTGGCCCTCTCCTTTTTTCGATACGTGGGCAGGGATCAATTTGTCGAAGATCAAAGCTGCACTGGATATAAATAATTTAGGCATCGATGGGCAAGTGATGTAGGGGAATTTCATTTACCAACCCGGACATCAAAAGTCATTATAAAGGATATAGGATATTTAAAACACCCCAAAAAGAATTTCGTTTCATCTCGGTGTTTACGTTTCTTCGAAGGAGTTTCTCCAGTGGGACAACTGTGGCTGGGCTGCATCAACTGGGCTCGTTTTCAATATCCCCAAATGCCGGAAGTAGAGTAGGTAACCTCTAACCTTTGTGGGCGTACTAAAACCTCTTTATGATCTCGGTTGCTCCCGCAGGCTAACCTTCAACTCCCCAGGGTACCGACAAGCAGGTAATTTTGCATATCAACCTGCACTCATGGAGTTGTTAAACATTTGATGTGTATTTTGGCGCTTCTCATCGACCACCCATCTTCCTTCCCTCCCTCCCTAAACCCGAAGGCCTAAATTCCCAGCGTGCAGATGTTTACCATCAACATCCTGCAAGTCTTTACTTTGGCCGCAGATCTTCATCCCAGCTTCATTGGCAGCCCTCGATACCTGACAAGTCTAGGGTTTAGGGCTAGGTTGTAACCGGGCTGCTGGACCACGAGGCCTGCTGCAAAAAGGGTTAGCTTGTATCAGTAGTGCAGTATCCAGAGGACTCAATACCCCAATTTACCGTTTTAGTTCAGGCATTTGATATTGAATATATATATATATATATATATATATATATATATATATATATCGGGCTCTCGGGGCAACTGAGGTACAGTGGTTGTCACGGATCCTACGGTGCGTGGCCGCAACAAGCGGGAAGGCCTTTGTGCCGAAGATGTCGCAGCAATGCTCCAGTGCTGCAGTGTGTTGGCGCTTTAGGATTTCATTTAGGGTTTTGTTCAGGGTTTTGTGTAGGGGTTTGAGGGTATGGGGTGCACAGCATTCTTTAGATTGAACCCCTTTCTTTAGGGTTGTGGTATCGACTACACCAAGACCCTTTGTATTCTCGAACCTAACAGATCCACAATGAACCCAGAGACTTGGTTGATTCGGAGTCCTTGGACCAGTTTCACTCGGGTCCGGCAAAATCCCAACAGCTTTGCCTTAATCCCACGCGCCAAATCCGTAAGCCCACACTTCAATACCTTCCGAGATTATGTGTACGTTCCGGTTACCTAGTTTCCTAGTATAGGGTCCTTACTACAAGACAGATTACGCACCCAAGGGTCCTGCGTTGGAGACTGCAGGTAGAGTAAATCCTCGACTTCAAAGCCTGGAGGCCCGAAACTAAACCAAACCCTTACAAAACGCTAAGCAATGAGCCCCCCTGAACCTTAGACTCGGACCCTAAGCAGAGGCTCAGGAAAAAGATTAGATGCATCTTTTTGTAGAGTACCAACCTGTCTGTATAGCCCCGAAAACATACCCTGTTGAGGCACTTTTTCCCTAAACCCGAAACCCTAAAAATCCTAAACCCTAAACCTTAAAAATCTAACCCTCAACCCTAAACCCTAAAGTAAAAGCCAGAAAGTTGGAATATGATTATCCTAAACCCTTTATGGTAAATTATGAGGTATCCTACCCTGAAACCATACCTCGCACCCTGCATCGTAGGTTCGTCCTAGCCAGGCGGGAGGCAAAAAATTCCAACTTTCTGGAGTTCCCTTTAAGGGCTTAAGGTTCTTTTGCGGGCGGACTTCGGGTTTAGGGACATCAAAAGTCCGATACACTTTAAAAAAACCTAAAAGGAATCTTGTGGAGCTAGAAGTTGAATCTCATCTCTTGCCTGGTTTGCCCGCTTGTTAGGGCAACAACTGCCACAATACTAAGAGAACGCGTCTGACCAAAAGTTTTTCGTCATGGTCTATACGGAGGTATAGACTTTTCCTGCAAGTTCTCTAAGATGAGGTATTGTTGCGGATAGGGGCCGTAAGAACTAACTACGAGAGCAGGGTTTCCGAAGGGGTGTGGTAGCAACTGCTATGGGGGTTTGAAGAACAGGAGTCGTCGTAATCAGAACGGGTAGTTTGCTGTACTTATAGTCTTCACTACTTGCTGCTATTATTGTTCTTCTTGTTATTCTTTGCGACCGCTAGAGTAGACGAGATGGTTGAACAAAAGGCCAGTCGTGCAACTCTTGTCTCATCTGTCTGAGGTATCTATGAAGCAGCAATCACATCCCGAAATACCCTTTTCAACCTTCTTTGCGGTTATACTACTGCCTACTGCCTAACCCCAAACCCGAAATCCTGAGCCCTAAGAGCCAAGAAAGCCGGCGGAGCCCGAGGTGAGACGAGATTACAAACCCGAAGGCCCAAAGCAAAGGCCAAGTCCATGAATTCGGTTTAATTTAGGATGGTCTACGGTCTAGGGGCTTTCCCTTGCAGGGTTTAAAGCGACAACCCGACAAACCGAAACAGACGAATCTGTCTCTGGTCAATTGCAGTGGGAGGTATTTGGGCAAATACCTGCTAAGTGCATACTATAATATTTTGGGATGTAGAGAACTCAGAAAGCTCACGGCAAGGACTGCCACAATGAAGAAAAGTCTGGAAGCAGCTGAGGATCCGTGCTGCTGAGAAGTTGGCTACGAAGCTGCCCATGCTGCTCCTGGCCTACAATATAGGGGTGGTACACTCTGCATGTAGTATTCCTTACATCCCCTTATGGTTATGATACTATATCATCCCAATCCCCATTGATAATTTTATCAAATGCCCAAAGGCATCCCAACACCCTATTGTAAGGTGCAGGACCAAGGTTTATAAGGCTTTTTGAGGTAGATACTACAAGGCTCTCAGTATAGCCGCGGATATAGACTGTTACAGGGCAACGACATTAGCAGGCTCAATGCCTCAATGCCGCTCAGCTGAGAGATGGGAGTTTCCCAAAATTAGGGGTACCTTATTTTGGGGTCCTTATAATAAAGATCCTACAAATCAGGGTACTATATTGGGGTCCCCTGTTTTCGGAAACTCCCAAATGAGTGTGGATGGATTTTCAACAAAGGGCGGGTTCGGAAAGAGCTCCGCAAGTGACCGCTTACAGGCAACAGATTTTAAGCTTCGCTTCTACAGTCAGACGATTTGTTCGAGGTCTCCAGTCGGACGTCATAGTCCCGACACAACCCGAAGTTTCATGAAGTTCACTAGTGACGGCATAGAAAAGGCTTCCAAGGAACAAAGGTTTGACTTCATTCAGTCTTGTTGATATTAAAGACTCTGGGAAATGATTAAATGGCCGTGTGCAAACAATACGAAACCTCCTTGCTTTCCCGGCCTGGATAGAGTTGGACTGTGCGTGCCGGGTTCATCGAAAGGCAGAGAGACCTCCTTCCGCCGCTGCAGCAAAAGGCACGGCTGCAGTACTTCTGGTTCTAGGCTCTACCTGGCAAGATTCTTACTCTATTGCCTAAACCTTCCTAAACCACACCCACAGCTGTGATCTACAGATAGCTTCTGCGGCGGTATGGTGACTGTCTTAGTCTTGCGTCTAGGGTCAAAGCCCGAGGCCAGACAGTCCTCAGAAGACTACATTCCCTCCAGCACCGAAACCCAGAGCCCAAAACCCTCCAGTAAGAGGAACACATCGCAAATCATCCGTTTTAGGGTTTGGAACTTGCAGTGTGTTCCAAAATCAGGGGATACAGTATAGGGCTGGCTGCCTGGGAAAGCGGACACAAAAAACAACACAAAAGCAAAAGCCCTCGAGTGCTTTATTGCCAGGTAAGCGACGCGGTGTCCAGGCTTGGTGACAAGGAGCTGCATTGAGCGCTCCCGGAGAAATCGCGTGCCCAAAAATGCATGTCTTTCAGTGCCTTGGGCTTCGCGCTCAGGGCTTATAGGGTCTACATGGGGGGCTTTCCGTGTTGAGGGTTTGTACGCAATCCTTCAGCATTAGACCACCGGAGTGGCCCAAATTGTTTGCTTGAGGATGTCATCGGCATGCTCTTGGCCGGTTCTTGGGATTCCGTACCTGAGGCACCTCGGCCATCAATGTGATATGGTTTGGTGTCAAGGGTGTGGGGTTTGAGGTTTGGGGTTCATGGATGTTCAGTGATTCCGGGGTTTGGGTCAGTGATTTGGCATGCGGGGCCTCGTTGTAGCAGCGGGAGGAGCAGTAGCAGTAGCAGCAGCAGTGGCAGCAGCAGTACAGCAGCTGCAGTAGCAGCAGAAGCAGTAGCAGCAGTAGCAACAGCAGCAGCAGCAATGTTCGTAGCACCAGCAGCAGCAGTAGGGGCAGCAGTGGGCATTGGTGCTGCCTGTGCCCGTTCCCAAGGTTTCTGCGCAGTTTCGTTTGCGCCTTGGCCCAGATCTAGCCGATGCAGTCGCCACGGAGGCGCTGGCTTCGTGCTTGTACCGTAGGGTGCACAGTTTGGGTCGAGGTTTCGGGAAGGTGCATATTATGGCTGGGGTGCCAGCAGGTTATGCAGAAGTCCCAAACTTGCCCAGGACTTTGATCTCAACCTCAGCCTCACCTGAAACCATAAACTCAGACCCTCTTGCGTTCCCCGTCTTCAGTTCGGACGAATTACCCTGCGCTGCGAACTTCCCAGCTGGGCTGGTGGGAAAAAAACCTAACCCGTAAGCTAGGCCCCAAGCCCTCACCGCTTGTCCTGGACCAGTCGGAGGCAAAACAAGCCCTCAACCCTAAACCCTCAACCCCTAAAGTTACTCGTCGCCTCGGAGTATGAATTTGGCTATGAAACTGTAGCTGTTTGCCAACTGTACAACCAAGATTCCCTGCAACCTAAACCCTGGCAGGAGCTTCCAGGGATGCTGCGACTGCTCACTGCAATGCCGGACACCGTCGCTGCAGCACAAGGCAAGACCTTCCGAAGAGGTTGGGTTTAGGTGTTTAGAGATGTAGGGGGTTTTCCGAAAATTAGGGGTGCATTATTTTAGGGTCCATATAATAAGGATCCTACTGAAAGGGTCCTACATTAGGTTCCCCTTTTTTCGGAACCCCCCCATGTAGGGGATTAAGGGTTACAGGGGGAATTGGCCCCTATAACCCCTTTAACTCATGTAACTTAAGGGTTTAGCATTCAGGCATTGCTAGTTCGAGAGTTTTTGAAAACGCTCCACCCTGAACATCAAAGCCGCCCTTGAGGGAGGCTTGTCGAGCCAGTTTTGTGTACCTCGGGCTTCTTCAGGATGCATGTGTGGACGAAGCCCTGAACTTTATATAATATAAGCAAAATGGAGAAGTGTTGCAGGGCAAAAAATGCATCATAAAATCTGGGAAAAGGGCCGGGAACCGACCGGGAACCGTGAGACCTCGTCTGGTTTGTCTAATCTACACACAGAAACCCTATGAAACCCTTATGGCAGACCACTCTCGGACCTTTTTGAGGTACATGAATGTCTATAGTGACAGACAAAATGATAATCCTAAAGGCTCCCTGTAAAGCTAGACGATCAGATACCCGAAACTATATTCCGGTTCTATTCTAGTGATTGAAGCTTCCTATGTATGTGTAGTGTACGATGCAACGTGGCTGCAGAGGGCCATGTTGCATTTAGCAGACCGGGGTTCCTTGTTACACCAACAGCCCCTCTTATTGAGGGTAGGGTCCAGGGCCTAGGGCTTAGGCTCTAATTCTTGCATCAAAGCTAAAGACATGTTCAATGTAGAGGATGGCGGTCGTTTCATATTCTATTCTCGTGGTTCCCACTATAGGGTTAAGGTTTAAGAGTTCTCGAATCTTGGCCCGTTTTGGTCATCCCTCAATCGTTTCAATCCCATTCTCCACTCCAGGCGTCAGCGCCTACTAGCTTGGATTTGCAGAGGGTTTCTAAAGGCTTATGAGAGGTCTCTTTTCGATTTCTTGTTTTATTTTTGCTTACTTCGCCCTAAAGGCCTTGGAAATCCCGAAACCTTGAACCCTTTGGTTGGGAACTCTAAAGCGCACAGTCCAGGATGGTGGCCCCCCATAAGAATATGTGTATCAATGATTGTTCTGTCTCTTATGATTATGAGGACTGCTATTATTAACCTTTGGAAGTGCAAGTCAGTTTTGGGCGCAAGTTTGACGTGTGTCGCCTTAGGGTGAAGGGTGTGCTTACGGTTGTAGGTGTCAGGATGACGGTCCGCAAAGGGGGCTCTAGCCTCGGGTTGCACAACGTCCGTAGCTGAACAAGCCCCTAGGCTTGGGGCCTTTTTAATTGAAAGCCACGCCTCAATTGAAAAGACCGCCGTAGGAGTCCTGGTACTTTTTGCCGGACCGCATAACTAGTACCAAACGGACAGGTATTTAAAAGCAAATTCACCGCCAAGGCATTTGCAGGTACACGAGATCAACGCCGAAGGCTATTATGTTTTCATACTACGCCCCTGCAAGCCCTATTCTAACTATTCAGGCTCGTGTACTAAACCTCTCTAGCGATCCTACCTACACCACAATACACCGCCCCTCCCCCCAAATATTCATCGTATTAGAGCCCGAGACTTATACGATAGCACCTACAAAAACATATGAAACGCCACATATTTTACATATTATCGGGCTTAGACATTTAATTTAGTCATATAGTAATTTCGTATGCCTTATAGGGCTCTGGGCCCCTACTTTTAACCCTAAACCCTGAGCCCTAGACCGTAAACCCACTTAAACAAAAAAACCAACGTAAACCCGTAACCCTAAACCCTACCTATAGTCTCCATTGTAGTTCCTTTTTGGGGTTACCTTTTAGCATCCTTAACATAAAATGGGCTAAACCAAAAAAGGAACTACAATGGAGACTATAGGTAAACCGTGAACTTAACTCTTCAAGCCTCCGGAGGCGACTGGGCGGACGAACCCAGTGGTCAGCTGCTCATGGCATTGCGGCAGAAGGCCTTTCTCCACATGCTGAGGGTTTCGGTTTAGGGTTTAAGGGTTTAGGGTTTAGGGTTCAGGCTTCAGGCTTTAGGGGTTTAGGATTTAGGGTTTAAGGTTTTAGGGTTCAGGGTTCAGGGTTAAGGGTTTAGTTAGGGTTCAGGGTAGTTTGTGCACACTCAAACCTGTAGGCTCATACCCTACCACTGTTTTGGGATACCTAGCTTTATGATTAGGATCTGTTGTATAGAGAAGTAGATAGTTAGATTCTTAGATAGCCTAAAAGAGGGGTAGGGCATGAGCCTACAGGAAGGCTCCATGTACCCTTTTACCATAAGCTTGGGCCTCAAAGGGGTCCCTATGTAGGTATTTTAGGGCCAATGTATATACTGTTATATACTATATGGGGCACATGGAGCTTTTCTTGCCGGACGCTTATACAATCCTGTATCCGAACGCATGAAAAGCTAAGTCGTTTTCGGCCAGGGATTTCCGCGTTTGGGCCTTGGCCCCTAAATAAGTTAACAATCACCGTTTCCATTCTCTAACCATGCACCACCCCCTGGCACCCAAACCACAACAACCCATACATCAACCCTATACCCACCGAAAGACCCATAGGAAAGACCCACCTGAAGACCCAAAACCAGAACAACGTATACCTCAACCCATCCAAGACCCATGAGAACCCTCGGAATAACTCACCTGAAGACCCAAAGCATAACAACCCATACCTCAATCCCTAACTTACCAAATATGCCCAACCTAAGGCCACACGATGGAACCACCAGAAGACCCACATCAAGACCCACATAGAAGAAACAAACAACCTCAACCCCATAGACCAACACCCCCCATAGAAAACCATATTTCCCAACCCGAAATCCCTAACCCTGGAAAATGGATATGGTCAAGGCTGTGCCTTAATGGAGAGCTTACTCTCTCCGTCATCTCAAATACAATATCCATAATAGGAGTAAGATTTAGGTTTAAGGTAGTTACAAAGCATAACATTATAATAGTAATAACGTCATGGTTGTTTAATCCATTAAGACAAACACAGGTTTATTCATGAGAGCTCTCGCAATTTTATGAAAGCCCCTAATAAATCTATCTGGTTCAAAGCCAAAAGCGTTTATATTACTGCGAATCTCAAATTTTTTATCATAATAACAACCATCCAATCAGCAATATACCCATCTGAAACGTTCATATCTTCTTTATGACAAGTCCTTGAACAATAGTTCTAACCCAGTCGTAACTGGGAAAGTTATGTTTTATTGAGACAATAAGTGTTTCTATATCATATTCGTGTAGAATATTACCTGTGATAATCCCTGTCGATCAATTCTTCGTTGAGCTGGCGTTTTTGACAATCACGGCACCAATTTTGCAAAGCCGTAGATATGATTAATAATGTTTTCGGGTATTGGCAATTCGTATAGAATGGAATACCGTTCGTGTTTTTTTACGGTCCTTGCACATACAATTCCGTCGCTATTCCTTGAGTTCCCTGAAGTAGTCGCGAACTTTGACAACATCCACGAACTGATTAATAATTTGATCCTGCTCTTTCTAGTTGAACATGTCTCCGCTGATATATATATATATATATATATGTATATATATATATATATATATGTATATATATATATATATATATGTACGTATGTATGTATGTATGTATGTATGTATGTATGTATATATGTATATATATATATATTTTTATCTTTTATTTGTGTATATTTAAGCATTGTGCCTTTAAGTGTGTTTTTTTTTGAGAATTTTCTTAAGACTTGTCAACAGGAATTTCAATAACTATTCTATCCTTATGTCTAGCGGATAGCATAAATTTCTTCTGACACTCATCATTCATTAGTAATTGATGGGCATGTGTGGGTCCTCTGGTGGTTCCATCGTGTGGGCCTTAGGATGGGTATAGTTGGTGAGTTAGGGATTGAGGTATGGGTTGTTATGCTTTGGGTCTTCAGGTGAGTTATATAGTCCTGGGGTTGTACCTATGGGACGTGGATGGATTTAGGGCTGAGGTATAGGTTGTTATGGTTTTGGGTCTCCAGGTGGGTCTTTCCTATGGGTCGTTCGGTGGGTTTAGGGTTGATGTATAGGTTGTCATGGTTTGGGTGCCAGGGGGTGGTGCATGGTTAGAGAATGGAAGCGGTGATTGTTAACTTATTTTAGGGTTTGGGATTTGGGGTGTAGGGCCTTGCAATCGCCTGAGACCTGGGCTTTTACACTAGAAAATCGTCTTATGGTTTTGGGAAGTAATCCCCATGTAGGTACTTGTGGCCCTTTTGGTAGAGTCAGGTTTTGACGACAGTTTCGTCGATGACGTGCTCGGATCTGGCTGACTGCTTCTGGTGCTTAGTAGCTCAGCTTGCTACCGAGGGTTTTGGGATTTAGGGGCTGGGGCTTTAGGGGTTTAGGGTCTAGGGTCTTTCCAGCAGAGCTGTTTGTGCAGTCTGCGAGTAGGATGTGGCAGGATGAGAATTCAGCCTGCTGGAAGCCTGGCGGGGTGTGGGTTTGGGGTTATTGAAGCCTCCCACACACAAGTAGCAAGACAGCAGTAATCTGTGCGTCTACACCGGTACCAGTCGATGTCTTATCAACGTGTGGGCCGAATACATTGGCCCCCGGCTGGTTGGATAGAGCTCCGGGCTCAATCAACAACAAGGCCCAAACCCGAAACTCTCATAACTTTTGCTTCACTCCCCCCGTGTTCCATGTTCGTGTGATGTGCGGTGGTGTTTGTGGTGTTTGAGGTTTAGGGCCAGGGGGTTTGAAGTCCGGTGGGCGTGTTCCCGGGGGTAGCAGTACTGGTGGATGCTATGTGTTGGGGGCGAGGTTGGTACCAACATTAGGTTCTATAGCTGTGAGTGAAGCTGTGGCTACCAACTGCTGTGGGTCAGTCTGAAAGATTGTATCTCCTACTGTCTGAACGGCATTCCAATGACTCCGAAACCCGAAACCCTGCATGATCCTTGAACCCTGATCCGTAAACCCTAAAGCCTCGTCTGGCTTGTCGAAAGCTTCCCGGCTCCGAACCCAACACCCAGGCAGAAGCTGGGCTCGCATCCTTGCCGCTGCAGCATGCCGTCACAGATCCTCGCCACGATTTAGACGCAGTTTAGACTGCATTGTCTACTTCTAGGGTCTAGAGACCATGCGGCAGACCACAGCGACATCGAAAACGCTGTAACAGGCAATAACCCCCAATGCGATACCTCGGACGTCGTATGTGTCTTTCTTAGCTGTCCCCGGCTTTCCAAGATGAATGTCCGGAAGGTCTCAATCTTCCCATCGAGTTGGGAATAGTAGTCGAAGCTGCCGAAGCTTTCACCAAGATCCGGCGTGAGAGAAGTTCTGATAGATTCTGACTTGCAATTGGCTTCGCCCCAACGCTTCGCAGCAGTATCGTGGCTCTTTTTTTCTAAGTGTGGGTACAAGATTCAGCCATCCATACATTGACACGAAGTCAGCGGTGCTGTCTGCGGAACTCCAAGTTTGGCTCGCTTGACGGACCACACGGTTTGGGTATGGCGAGGGCGGCCAGCAGCAGAAGCCGCGATTGGCAGCTTGCGGTTCATCTGGCGCAAAAGGTGCCAGGAAGTGGGAAGAATGAAAAAGCTTTCCGGGAAGCGATCGTTGCCTGCGGAAGCGCCCAGCAGTGGAACATAGCCCTCCAACTGTTGTCAAACATTTTTTTCGAGCAGCGAACCTCTCCACGTTTACAGCTTCACTGCCGCGATAACGGCCTGTGGACGTGGCTTCAAGTGGCAGCATGCGCTGGCACTGTTGATGCAGATGGGATCAGCCCAAGCTCAGCTAAATGTAGTTAGCTACAGTGCCAGCATTAGCGCCTGTGAGAAAGGTTGCGAGTGGCAGATGGCGCTGCACTTGCTGTCGCAGATGCCTTTGGCCAGAGCTGTGCCGAATGAGATCAGTTTCAATGCTGGCATCAGTGCCTGTGAGAAAGGTGGCGAGTGGCAGACGGCGCTGTACTTGCTGTCACAGATGCCGGCAGCCGGTGTTTCTCCGAATCAGATCAGTTTCTCTGCTGGCATCAGTGCCTGTGAGCAAGGTGGCGAGTGGCAGATGGCCCCGTGCTTGCTTTCGCAGATGCCTTTGGCCGAAGTTGTGCCGAATCGGATCAGCTTCAATGCTGGCATCAGTGCCTGTGAGAAGGGTGGCGAGTGGCAGATGTGGTTGTACTTGCTGTCACAGATGCCAGCGGCCACAGTTGTCCCAGGTCGGATCAGTTTCAATGCTGGCATCAGTGCTTGTGAGAAAGGTTGCGAGTGGCAGATGGCGCTGCACTTGCTGTCGCAGATGCCTTTGGCCAGAGCTGTGCCGAATGAGATCAGTTTCTCTGCTGGCATCAGTGCATGTGAGAAAGGTGGCGAGTGGCGGATGGCACTGTGCTTGCTGTCACAGATGCCGGCAGCCGGTGTTTCTCCGAATCAGATCAGCTTCAATGCTGGGATCAGTGCATGTGAGAAAGGTGGCGAGTGGCAGATGGCACTGTGCTTGCTGTCGCAGATGTCGGCAGCCGGGATTATACCGGATCAGATCAGTTGCAATGCTGGCATCAGTGCCTGTGAGAAAGGTGGCGAGTGGCAGATGGCGTTGTTCTTGCTGTCGCAGATGCCTTTGGCCAGAGCTGTGCCAAATGAGATCAGTTTCTCTGCTGGCATCAGTGCCTGTGAGAAAGGTGGCCAATGGCACTGTACTTGCTGGCGCAGATATCGGCAGCCCGGGTTGTACCGGATCAGATCAGTGTCAATGCTGGCATCTGTGCCTGTGAGAAAGGTGGCGAGTGGCAGATGGCACTGCATTTGCTGTCGCAGATGCCGGCAGTCGGAGTTGTGCCAGATCAGATAAGCCCTAGTTCTTGCATCAAATCATGTGGCACTGCCCGCATTTGGGAACTCGCCTTGTCCCTTTTCTCCTCGATAAGAGGGAACCAGCTACAGCCAGATTCAGCTTCGTATGGGCAGGCCATCTTTGCAATTTGGCCCAAGGCCGTCACTTTTGGGCTATTGCGTCAAGCTTTGCCGAACATGTTGCGGGAAAGTGGAACCTGGGTCGATCTTCATGGTCACTCCTGTTGTTCAGCGATGCTTGCGGTGTCATGGTGGCTCGCTCAGGTTGTCTCCAAGCGGCTTACCCGGACGCGGAGACACGAATCGACATCGTTCGAGGTTATCACAGGCTGGGGCAAGTCCCGCATGCCCTGGCAGCCCACTGGCTCCGATCTCCAGGTTTCAGTCCGCAGATTCTTGGATGAACGCGCTATCCCGTGCAGGATTCATCCTCAGAATCGTGGCTGCTTGATTCTCGATCTTCGAGGAATCGACCCAAGGCAGCTTCGTGAAATGTACCCATCCTCGCCCGTGAGCCCTTGAGCCCTCGCCGACATCACCAAGACGGCGATCGCACCTGTTTCGTGACGATCTGAGTTTGTATTTCTCCCACCTCGAGCGGAACAGTCTGTTGGACATCGTTCGTTGGGGATTCGTCGGAACCGTGCAACCTGGCCCCGGGCTTAAAATAGGGGCCTTAATAATTACATGGGGTTCGTTTTAAAGGGATCCTTAAAAGGGGTCTCAGAGGGATCTATCACAGGGCTCCATATCAGGGACCTTAATAATTACCTATACTATTCGGGTGGTTCCTTCTTATAATTATACGTAGTGTCATGGGCCCCAGAACCCGATTCGATGAAGGCCCCTAGGTTATAGAACCCTACTCTACATAGAACCCTTAAAGGACAGCTTAAAGGAACCTAAAGGAACTCTATTGTAGTTATTAAGGCCGCTATAGTAGATCCAGCTCCTAAACCTTCTAAACCTTCCCACCCCCACAACCATGACTCGAGAACCTAAGCCCTCAGCAAAGGCCGCGACCTTGGGAATCGGCAATGATACATTCGCATGCAAAGCCTTACCCCTGTATGGCAACGCGGCCGCGCTGCGCCTTCCTGCCTCTACGTCCCCTGCTCCCCCCCGACAACTATTACTGACCACCCTAAAACTCTAAGGCCCTAGGCCCTAAACCCTAAACCGGCCCTAACCCCCCAAAAAAGCCAGGCGAGGTGGGAGGGAAAAAACCCCAAAAAAACCCTAACCCTATCGGCTTTTGACCCTGTCCTGCCCGGGATCTCAGGAACTGGTGGCGCGGGAGGCCACATGGATCGCACGTATTGTGAAGACTCTTGAGTCTCTAGGGAACCGGGCTTTGGGGTTTTAGGGTGTTTAGGCTTCAGGGGTACAGGGGTAATTACAGGGGGGGTTTGGAGGGTTTAGGGGTTTAGGGTTTAGTTCAGGGTTTAGGGTTAAGGCACCGGGAAAAACAGGTTACTCATCCTAACAGATTGTTAGTAACCTATTACTCTGGGGGGCACGATAATCCCCACATAGTCCAACAGGTTATGAGCCTTCGTCCTCCCAGATACTAGACAAGTAAGGGCTCCTAGTAGTAGAGTAAGTAACCTTGATCCTTTTGGTGTAGTATAGTCCCTATATAACCCCTATATAAGGTTAACCTTTAGTTCCCCATGATACCCGACAAGCAAGGGCTTGAGTGGCGGAACCCAAAGCCTGTGAGCTTTAAAGCACCTCCAACAAGGTTGACCTCTTGAAATTCAATGCAGCTCCCTGAAGCGCGAACTTCAAAAAAAGGGTGAAGCCCACAACATCAACTCCATGAGTTAACCAACAATAGTGAACCCCAGAAAGTTGGAACAGGGTTTAGGAGGATTCATGCCGGGATTCCCTATACTTTTACTTTAGGGGCATGAGGAGAATAATGTTCCAACTTTCTGGCTTCTACTAAAGACCCTTAACAGCCCTAAAGTCCGAAACCCTACCTTAGGACCCCGACCCTGGAATGTCGTACCTTGGTTTGGTTACTTTGGCTTATGGAAAATTGAACGGCTATCCCTAAGAATGGGTAATAGAAAAGCCCTAAAGAGCTGAACCCGAAAACCCTAAAACCACAAACTTCTGGAGCCGTATTTAAAACCCAAAATTTCTTGGACTCCCAACCCCTAACCCCTTAAAAGCCCAATTTAAAAGCAAAGCCATTAAAACCCTCATTTCAAAGCAAAACCCTTAAGCCCTTAACACTTACATAAACCCCATATATCTATTGCTAAGCCCCAGAGTTGAACCCCAACCCACCAAAATCCCGAAGTCTCGAACTACGAGCCCGAAGACCTGGTCCTGCAAATCTGAGAGTGGGATCCTACGGCTCATGGTATAAATCCTGCATGGGTGTACTCCTTATTATGGGCAATGCAGGAATTGTATCATCATCCGTAGGAAGGGGCCCGGAATAATTTGGCGATGTTATGCCCATAGAAGCACTCTATGTACATACTACACCCCTTTGTTCTAAACCTGCCTCTCACCCTGAAACTTCAAAGTTTTCAGCCTTAGGATGCCGAAATCTAGGCTGAATACGGTTTAGTGTTCAGGTGGAGCGGTTCTTGTACAATCGGTTTGAGGTCGCTCATGACTATGCAGAGATTACTATGCCGGAAAAATCCCTGGAGCACCTGAGTTCAACCCTAAACCCTAAACCCTAAACCCCTAAACCCCTAAACCCCTAAACCCTAAACCCTAAAGCCTAAACCCTAAACCCTAAACCCCTAAACCCCTAAACCCTAAACCGTTCGGGGTTAGGGTTTCGGAGCAAGGTCCCCGAGCCCTAAACCCAACCCGAGGCAACATGCTCTAGCCCTGGTGATACTTGGAAAGGCAGGGGACTTAGTAAGTAGGTTATAAGTAGAGTTATAATGTACCCCAACTGGAGTTACCCCAATTATAACCCTACTTATAACCTACTTACTAAGTCCCCTGGGCTTCTAAGTGGTGATAAAGGCCTTATTGTTCTTTCCCGAGAAAGGCGCCACGTTGGCGACGGAAGTCCTACGACCCACCGCTTTGGCAGCTGCCTGGTGTAAAGCTTGGGCTTTTTAAAGGTCGCTACACCACAAAAAAACCAAAGATGTAACCCCAAACCTCGCGTGAACATGTGATAAAGGCTCCTTCCATGTAGGGCCCTCTGCCAGGGTGTAGGTTTCTGCGGTGACAGCTTGAGACTCTGGTGAAACATCTGAACTTGAATACCCACCCATGCGGAATGTGCAAAAATTCTATGGCCCTCAATACCCAAAGGGTCCAAGTATCCTTATGGTATATACTTAGACCCCCAAAATGCCCTATAAGTATAGACCATAATGATACTTGGACCCTTGGGGATAGTTAGTATTTGGGGGTGTGGAGGGGCAGTTGGGATGTCAAGGCTGCGCTGTCCGCAACCGTGAAAGGTAAGCAGCAGTGCACTTTTTGGGGGACTCCTGCTGAAGAAACCGTGCAGCAGAAACATCGGCTGACAAAGTGCCCAAGAGCATTGAAGAGCTCCCCAGTCCTAGTCCTAAACCCTGAACCCTGAACCCTAACGCAAGAGCTTAGGGTTTTGGGCGTAGACCGTCAACCACTATTGGGCTCCCGATTGCGAGTGTGTGCCGGATTGCTCGGGAACGAGACCGGCAGAACGCAGCCCTTGGGGTGTAGGCGGAGGATTCCCGGGCCTTTTTCTGCATAGAAGCTCCGAAACCCAAATCCTAAAATCCCATCAAAAATAACGTCAACCTAAAGGTACCTTCTCATACCTTGTTTGAACCCTCTATCTTGCTGGGTCTTGGCAGCCAAGGTTTCTCTATGCCTTTGCAAGGATGCAGGTGCAGGACTGCATGGTCGCGCAGTACCTACAGGGTCATACCGAAGTCATACTTGGAGGATCATGGGACTTAGTAAGTAAGGTTATAAGTACCTTAATTGGGCTTATAAGTAGTTATAAGTATAGTTACCCTAATTTTAACCCGAGTTACTAAGTCCCATGATCCTTTAAGTATATTCTAGTACCCTTATAGTATCCCTTATGGTATCCCTTACAGTAGCCCCTTCAAAGGAACCCTAGGAACCCGAGTTACTAAGTCCCATGATCCTTTAAGTATATTCTAGTACCCTTATAGTATCCCTTATGGTATCCCTTACAGTAGCCCCTTTAAAGGAACCCTAGGAACCCGAGTTACTAAGTCCCATGATCCTTTAAGTATATTCTAGTACCCTTATAGTATCCCTTATGGTATCCCTTACAGTAGCCCCTTTAAAGGAACCCTAGGAACCCGAGTTACTAAGTCCCATGATCCTTTAAGTATATTCTAGTACCCTTATAGTATCCCTTATGGTATCCCTTACAGTAGCCCCTTTAAAGGAACCCTAGGAACCCGAGTTACTAAGTCCCATGATCCCTTAAGTATATTCTAGTACCCTTATAGTATCCCTTATGGTATCCCTTACAGTAGCCCCTTTAAAGGAACCCAAGGAACCCGAGTTACTAAGTCCCATGATCCTTTAAGTATATTCTAGTACGCTTATAGTATCCCTTATGGTATCCCTTACAGTAGCCCCTTTAAAGGAACCCAAGGAACCCGAGTTACTAAGTCCCATGATCCTTTAAGTATATTCTAGTACCCTTATAGTATCCCTTACAGTAGCCCCTTTAAAGGAACCCTAGGAACCCGAGTTACTAAGTCCCATGATCCTTTAAGTATATTCTAGTACCCTTATAGTATCCCTTATGGTATCCCTTACAGTAGCCCCTTTAAAGGAACCCTAGGAACCCGAGTTACTAAGTCCCATGATCCTTTAAGTATATTCTAGTACCCTTATAGTATCCCTTATGGTATCCCTTACAGTAGCCCCTTTAAAGGAACCCTAGGAACCCGAGTTACTAAGTCCCATGATCCTTTAAGTATATTCTAGTACCCTTATAGTATCCCTTATGGTATCCCTTACAGTAGCCCCTTTAAAGGAACCCTAGGACCCGAGTTACTAAGTCCCATGATCCTTTAAGTATATTCTAGTACCCTTATAGTATCCCTTATGGTATCCCTTACAGTAGCCCCTTTAAAGGAACCCTAGGAACCCGAGTTACTAAGTCCCATGATCCTTTAAGTATATTCTAGTACCCTTATAGTATCCCTTATGGTATCCCTTACAGTAGCCCCTTTAAAGGAACCCAAGGAACCCGAGTTAATAAGTCCCATGATCCTTTAAGTACCTTACACCACTCCAAGGGTTCAGGTTTTTACTTGGAAGGGCAGGGGACTTAGTAAGTAGGTTATAAGTAGAGTTATAAGTACCCTAAATGGAGTTACCCCAATTATAACCCTACTTATAACCTACTTACTAAGTCCCCTGCCCTTCCAAGTAGGGTATCTACTTTCTCTGCACCAGAGATCCGAACAACAAAACGAGGTTCCCCCCAAAAGGAGAGGGTTTTTGACCCTCTAGGTAGCAGTCGAGATGCAAATAAGCCAGAGAACCCGAAGACCCCTGTCCTGGTTTTCCTTCAGGACTTTTAATGTTCGCGTTTGCTCATCCGTTCACCGTTAGTGTATACGCAAACCGTCACATACCCGAGGAGTTAATGCAAGCTACTATTTCTATATGGGTTTGGGGGATTCTTCAAAGATGCGCGGCCAGCCCAATGCCAAGCAGAATGCCATTATAGCCCTAGAAACGGAAGTTTGGGTTCCTGGTAAGAGGAGTGCATACGAACCTATCGTTTTCAAAACGCAAAGAAACTCGAGAACAAGCCGTTAAGTGACTTTCAGGATGTCTACCAAAAGGGCTCAAGACTTGTTAACTGAGCTACCTCAAATCATGCATTTGCTTAAGCATCGCTTTGCCGTTCAGCATTATTCATTGTTTGTGGAATGTTGGCATGGGCTCAGGGCTCATCTGCGAAACATGCGGCAGTTCTCGTGAACCTCGTCCGGTTTGCCTGTCGACCTTCACTGAACCCGAATGTTCTTCGACCCCCCCCACCACCCATTCTTGGGAGCATTACACCCTAAACCGTCCAATCCTGGGACCCCACACCCTAAACCGGGACGTTACCAGTGCTGTTTTGGGGTTTCCTTATTCTATCTATAGTATAATGGGCCCCAAAACCTTATTCTAATTACGAAGACCCGTATATTACCTTCTGCTTGTCCCCAGCCCAGGTATCCCCACCACGATTCCCAGTAGTACCCTTATTCCCTTTTTGTAGTCCTAGGTTCCTTATAAAGTTACCCAGTACCAAAAAGAGATGCCTTTTTATTCTTAGGTTACTGGGTATCCTAGCCCAGTCTTCCCCATAAACCACCAGAGTCCAGCCCATGAGCCGCCGAAACTTCCCAAACGAAGAGTGCCCGGTTTAGGGTTTGGGGTTTAGGATTTAGGGTTTAGGATTTAGGGTTTAGGGTTTAGGGTTTAGGATTTAGGGTTTAGGATTTAGGGTTTAGGATTTAGGGTTTAGGGTTTAGGGTTTCCTGCTTTACGCATCATAAGGAATAAGCCTCTATTCCCATAGTTTAGGGTCGTCAAGGTAATGCAAAATTTAGATCATCAACTGTATGTACGTTACAGCATGTACATTATGTCCATTTCTTGCTTAATATTACTATGGTTATTGCTATTAACTATTCTCCTTAGCTATTAATCCGAGTATTATTATTGCAATTCCTACTGTTATGGCTGTCTAATCCAGAGTTCTATAGAACTGTCAACCAAAGCCCTATAACAATGATAGCGTTTTGGGACCTGTGTCCATAATGGTAGTATATACGGACCCTCTGGGAAAGGCCTTTGTTTACAGAATACTCCCTGCATTCTGGTTACAATGTTTGTGGGTTTTCACTTACAAGGGCTACTCCCTGCTTGATTTACTTTCACAACATGTAGAAAAACCAGGATGTGATCCTGATGCAGACCCCTTAGAAAGAGGGTGGCGTTCCTTCCGTGTAGTGTCACTACGTTCTAAGCCCTGAACCCTAAGGCCTAAATCCCTAAACCTTGACTTAAACCCTTATCCGAAAGTCCTAAAGCCCTAAACCTCAGCATAAACCCTGAACCCTAAGTTCTAAACCCCTAAACCTCAACTTAAACCGCCGGTATCTCCACCCGAACTTCTGAAGCTCGAGCTTGGACTAAGCCGAAGGAGCCAATTCTCCTGAAAGCCGCCGCCAGACTGGCGCTGCGGGAAGATCTTTCAACTCACACCAACTGGGCATCTCGAGCAGAAGGAGAGATACTGTCCTTTTTAGGTTTCAACAGTGATTCTCGAAGTGTTTCGGGCTTGTTGTAGGGATAAGTTGTTTTTTGTATGGTTAGGAACCATGTAAGAAACTAAGGTCAGAAAAAATACTACCTTAGGAGACCTTATCCGATCCCCTTGCTAAGGCGATAGCGGTGATGCGCTGGTCGCAGCCGGGCTTGAACGGAATGCTCCTTTCGGGTATAAGGTTTGGGGTTTAGGGTGGGGCCATGCCGGCATACAACCAAAGCCCATGCTGAAAAAGGGCGGGGTATAGCGTCTTGAGCATTTCGACTACCCAAAGACTGACTACTTCTATATCCGCTGCCAGCACTGTGCAACATATTCTAAAGCCGACCTAATTATGAAGGACTCTAAATCACGGAGCTCTGACAGTAGCCGCCTTTGAAAAAAAGATCTCTGTCCCGATTAAAGCCGAAACCCTAAACCCTATTCCACTTAAGCCCCCTGTCTGGGACTTTTGGACTCGAGCAGGTACTCGCAGCTGGAGGAAGTGCAGGCGATGGACGCTCATGAGACACGAAATGGAGGGTTTGGGGTCTAGGAGTTTTTGGGTGTAGGTTTAGGGTTTAGGAGTTTAAGAGTTAAGGTTCAGGGTTTAGGAGTTTACGGTTAAAGGTTAAAGGTTTAGGTTTTGTTCTGGCAGCCAGCAAGCCCAGTTCGGTGTTGTCATTTAGGGTTTAAGGTTTAGGGTCCAGTGACAGTGTAAGATTTTCTGCGCATGAAAGCACAAGACTTTGTGACTTGAGTAAACATCATGGTAGATTTCAGTTCACGACTTAATCCGCACTCTCTCTCTGTTCGCTGCGGCCAGGCTCTCAATTCCATTAGAGAGTAGCTATCGATGGAAGCAGGCCTACTGGTCTTGGGGTTGTGATCGGCGAATCGCAGCAACCAGGTTGGATTTTGGTACATTTTTTATTTTCCTTATTTGTGCTTATAAGGGACCCCTAAACCCTTAACCCTAAAGCCTAAACCTAAACATTGTTCATGGTGTTTAAAGGCCAAGCCAGGCAATGTTACAAGACGGAGGCCTGGCTCGCATTTTGATCACCAAGACCTTCTTCGAGGCCCGCTGGCTTTGTAAGGTTTAGGGGCTTTAGGGTGTAGGGTTTGGGTTTTGGGGTTTAGGGTTGGAGGTTTTTAGGGTTTAGGGTTGAGAGTCTTTAGCGTTTTAGCGTTAAGGGTTTAGGGTCTCAATAGAGTAACTACAGAGAGACCTCGTTCAAACAAAAATAGACGAACTTCCCTGGAACCCTGTGTTTCCCAGATGTGTAGTTGTCAAAACTAGGTCCCTTTTTGGCTACCCCAAATAATAGGTGCCGTATTATAATAGGGACCCAAAAAAGGGACGTTATAATTTTGACAAAACCACTCAGATGTATGCGAACATCTTAGGGTTGTTGAGGACGTTTCCGGCCTCGAGTCCGAGCATCCGAAACCCTCTTAACCACAGCCAAAAGCCCAAAGGCCCTCCTAAAACCCTAAAACCCTGAAACCCTAAACCCCAAAACCCTAAACCCTAAAACCCTAAAGGCCTAAACCCTAAAGCCCTAAACCCTAAAACCCTAAACCCTTAAACCCTCAACCCTAAACCCTTAAACCCTGAAAAAAAAACCCTAAGAACCCCAGCCCGACAACCAGAACCCCAAACAAAGGACACTGCACCGGAACAAGGGCAGGAAAATTATTTGGGAAACCCGTATATAACCACGAGGAACCCCTTAAGGGCTCCTTTCAGGGTTCCTTTAAGGAGCCCTGAAAGGGACCCTCAAGAGGATCCCTTTTGGGGAGCCCGAAGCCCCAGGTGGCGCCATTGACACCGAAAGTGAAGCGTTCGCAGTCGTGGCCGCGAGATCCCGAGAGGCTGATCCCTGAACCAGCCTTGTCCTTTTTCATGGTTCCCCCAAAAGAATAAATAGACCGGCTAGTAGACCCCCATTAGAATAAATAGACCGGCTAGTAGACCTTCTTAAATAATTCCTACTAAGGGATATAGGGAAAAAGGGCTCTGTCTATTATTTCTAAAAGGACAAGTGTGCCCTGAACCCTGAGCCAGAAGCCGCCTAGTCACTAATCTCTTCTTATTGAACCCTAACCTAAAACCCTAAGCCCTAAAAGGGTTTAGGGTTTTTCATCTCTCTACCTAACCTAAAACCTTAAACCCTAAAGGGTTTAGGGAAACCCTACCTAGCCCAAAGCATGAAACCCTAAAGGGTTTCGGCTTTTAAAGCCTAGTCACTAGAGATCCGGAGAGGCGTGAGTCGATCTATTCGGAGAGCTGGCCTCCCGACTTCCAAGAGGGGGGGCGGGGGGGGGGTTCCTTGAGTTTAGGGTTTGGGGTTTAGGGTTCAGGTTCAGGGTGTTAGGGTTTAGGGTTGTAGTGGGCGGGCTTCAGGGAATAGCAGGTGGTCAATATATACTAGTTGTCAGGAGGCGGCATCCCGACTTCCAAACAGGTCTTGCAGGGTATAGGGAGGACTACCATTGCGGAATCAAGCGTGAAGGGCCTGGGCTAGGGCCGGGGTTGTAGTGGTTCGTCCATCGTGAGTTACTACACTCACACCTATAGTTCCGCGCATCATGTCTGGCGTTGAGGTCTGCGTGCGAGATTTTCGCAGGGTTTTGGGTTTAGCTTGGCATGTTTGGTTTGCACAAGGGATGTCTTTGCTTCAGGGGTGCCGTATTCACCGCTTGCAAAGCCACATGTTGTTTCCGATTTTTGAAGCTGCCACTCTAAACCCCATAGCGCTAGGCACGAATCAGGCGGCTGGGTGTCAAGCGACGACCGTTCAGGTTTGCTGAGTTCTTAGGGGTTCTGCCTGCCAAGGTCATGGACCGGGTCGGAGGTCTCCGAGACATGCAAACAGAGTCCCTTAGCAGCTGAGTAGGCAACCTCAATCCTTTTTGGATTTTATTAACAGCTTAACCCTACCATAGTTGATCAGGTTGACCTTGTCTGGGCTAGGGTACTTAGCCCCCAAGGTCCAAGCCCTCATGGTCGGCAAGAAGTGGACATGCACATGGAGTCAGCCAGCCCTTCTGCTTGGAATGACGTGTATGGACTGCCTGCCGAGCATCCTGGGTGGGAGATTGCTTCTAAGCTCATGATCCGTAACCTGCCAGCCAGGTGCTCGCATGAAGAGCTTGAGAAGTTCGTCAAGGCTTCCACAGGTGCCACCTTCCAACTCTCAATGCCTTTGAACCAGAGTGGAAGGAATCGTGGATACGCTTTCATCATCGTCTCGGACATCTCATCCCTTCGCGATCTGGTGAGTGCTTTGTGGGGCAAGCGTGTGCCAAGCAGGAACAGCATGCGCCCAATTATGCTGCAGCCGGGAAACTGGGATCAGATGCGTCGGCGATCTTTGGCGTGACTCAGCATTCCAACATCGCCGGGGCAGGGAGGGTTCGTTCTGGCAGCATAGACAGCAAAGTACAGCCGCCGCCACAGACTGTGGCGGATTGCCAATTAATTAGTTCATACATATTCGTTGATCCCTGCACGCTCCAGAAGCTGGCTTTCTGGCTAGAGCCGCTGCTTACACCCTTTTCTTGTATCACTTTCCAGGCACTGCTTGCCAGTATATCCCTCGGAGCCCAGATAGTTACGTGGCGGTTGCTTTCCTTGCAGGAGTCCTTTCGGCACACAAAATCCAAACCTGAGATAGATAGATAGATTGATGTTGGGTACTGACCCCATTCTGTAATATATATATATATATATATATATATATATATATATATAGATATTAATATTAATATTAACCTTAATCTTAATATTATTATTAATCTTAATATTATTATTCATATTAATGGTAATATTAATATTTATATTAATATTAATGTTAATATTAATATTAATATTAATATTAATATTAATATTAATACTAATATTAATATTAATATTAATATTAATAATATTATTAATATTGATATTAATATTAATATTAATATTAATATTAATACTAATATATATATATATATATATATATATATATACATATATGTAGCCCTTGCTATGACCCCAACTATAGGTAGGTACATCAGATAGACGGTCACCGGGCTCCAAGGGTGCGCTGCCTGAGTCTCGCCGCACTGTCTCGGTCTTAAAGCGACCCCAAGTGCAAAGACGCGAAGAAAGTGTGGCACTCCAGGGGTTTAGGGTTTGGGGGGTTTGGGGTTTAGGGATGAGCAGGGTAAGGAAGTGCAGTCAGGAGTGCTGACCTTCCGTCCATGTATTCAGGCGATTGCACAAGTCCTGATGCAAAAAAGGGAGTAATCCTATTCCCGTGAAGTCTCCAAACCCTCTGTCGAGATCGAGATTGCCTTGCGATGTGCTCTGCCGCCACATATACACATAGTATAAGTGTTTATTCATACATGCATGGATTTACATTTACGTATGTACGAGCTTTACCAGAAACAGTCAATGGCGCTTATGTGCATTTCTATCTGTCTGTCTGGCTGTCTTTTTGTACAGACTACATATATACATACATACACATGCACCTATTGCACCAAGACCTGACATCTTATACCTCTTGCTATAAATCATAGGTCCCAGACCATCTAGAAAATAACATGATCCAAACACCATGCATCAAATGTCATAACGTCGATCGTGAGCGTGCGCATGGATGGCTGGGTGGATGGATGGATGGCTGGGTGGGTGGGAGGATGGATGGATGCACCTATATATGATAGCATGCGCAACCTGAGTTGATGAGGATCTCCAGTCTGATCTTTTCAAAACGACTCTTCTCAAGGACTCCGTTTCTAGGAATTTGTATATAGATATGTGTATATATATATGTACATATATAGATGTATATATATATATATATGTATACAGTATGTATTGGCCTTGGAGGGTTTCTTTGTGAGAGCGTAGGGCCAAAGTATAGACTATGGGTGCATAGACTTTTCGATGACACGATAATGCACCTTCCGGTAGCTCCAAGATCCATTAAAGCCCGTATTCAGCCTGGCAAAACACTGTTAGACTCTTTAAAGTCTCATAATAAAACGTTTATATAAAACGTTGTCAAGTTGTCACAGGCTTCGGATTGTTTCGCGGCGATCGGTTCTTCTGGCGCGGAGGGGTAGAGGGGATTTAGGGCGACTTGGGAAAAGAAGCTCAAACAAGCCCTCTGCATGACATCTGTAGACCCTTCTAGGGCCCAAACAGGAATGCCTATCCAACCCTGAAGCAACCCTAAACCCAAACCCATAAGCCCTTAGCAGATCCGTGTCGGGACCCTCTAGACCCCTGACACCTTTGTGGAGCGGAACAAGGGCCGATCCAAAAAGCAAACAACAACGAAGATTAAGATTTCCAACCCTAAACCCTATAAAGCCTAAACCCGAAACCCTGAAGCCTAAACCCGAAACCCTAAACCCCTAGAAGCCTAAACCTCTAAAAGCCTAAAGAAACCCTAAAACCTTAAACCCTAAACCCTAAAACCCTAAACTCTTAAACCCTAAACCCTAAACCCTTAAACCCTAAACCCCTAAAAGCCTAAAGAAACCCTGGAGTAAGAGGATGGTTTAGCCCAGTTCCGCCAGAGGCTCGACTCGGAGGCTCTCGCGGTTTTGCCATTGGTTTTGAGTTTAGGGTTGTAGGGTGTAAGGTCTAGGGTTTTGGGTCTAGGGTTTAGGGTTTGGGGGTTTAGAGTTTAGGGTTGTAAAGTTTCAGGTCTCGGGTTTAGGATCTAGGGTTTAGGGTCTAGGGTTTAGAGTTTAGGGTTGTAGGGTTTCAGGTCTAGGGTTTAGGATCTAGGGTTTAGGGTCTAGGATTTAGAGTTTAGGGTTGTAGGGTTTCAGGTCTCGGGTTTAGGGTTTAGAGTTTAGGGCTGTAGGGTTTCAGGTCTAGGGTTTAGGATCTAGGGTTTAGGGTCTAGAGGCTGGGGTTTGAGAAGGGCTTCCAGGATCCATGAGAGGAATTGGGGCCGGTACTTGGGGATCTTGGGCATGTGGCGGGTTTAGGCGTTGGGTTGACCTTTGGGATCTTTTGTAATTTTCTCACTAGTTTGTAGAGAACCATAATAGTAAATAATTTCCCAACGGCTTAAAGGACAACTCAGAATATCTCAGAGTGCTGAGGGCTCAATGGTTCCAAGTTCGAGGCTTGAGGGCTTAGTCGTGTAGCTTTGGGGGGTTTGGGCTTAAGCTTTAGGTGTAAGGCGTTTCGGGTTAGTATGGGTGGCAGGGGTTGAGCTGAATCTTGGATTTCCCGAATCTGGGGCAAGGTTTCACGGCCAATTGTCGGCTGCAGTCTGCGAGCCGTTGTAGGTTTCAGCCATTAACTTGTTTCTTCGATGTTGGAACACCAATAATCATGAATGGCATGAATAAGTAGCCTGTAACCTTTTGGGGTTTATATAATCCTACCATAATGGAAAAGGTCAACCTTTTTTGGGGCTAGTTGGGGAGTCTAGATTTGCATTCATGTCTTTCATCCTTTGAATCCTTTGTGGAGATGCCCATAGCCAGGACTTGCGAGTCAAGGGACAGTGCGTGCAGGTTATATCTTCAAGAATTAGCAATAAACCTTCTCATATCCCCGCATAAACCGTTTATACTTCGTCAAAGTTCTATTCTAATCATTCGGGGTTCTAATAATGAGAGCATTGGCCACAACTTTTGTTGCCACCTGCCTCTCAGACCCGGTCCCCTCGACTTCACAAAGGCTCACCACTTAAATCCTGGCAAGCTGAACCCTTCGACTGAATCCCTGTTTTACGTCCTGGGAGAGTTATAGTCGATTTCAAGCGGGGGGCTTTATTCTTTGGGTAGCCCCACTCCCGGTGTTTTATTCTCTCAAGCCGTACCTAGGTAGAAGAGGGGCTTCGAACATAGATGCCAGATAGATTCTTTTGCACTGGGCAGCGCGGGCTTTCTAAACCATAAATTTTAAAGTCAGACGGCCAAACAGGAGCAATTTCATGAGCCATTCTGACCTTAGAATTAGACCAGTCACGGGCTGCAAGCAACACTTACACACAGCCCTAAACCCTAAACCGGTGCGGAGTGGAGACTCTGGAGCCGTGCCTGCGAGAGCGAGTGTGCGAGTCGAAACCGGTGCAGGGTGGGGCTGAATCTTCATTCAAGTCTATGAACCCTAAACCCTAAACCCCTCAACCCTAGGAGTTTCGAATTCCATAAGAGGGGCCGTAATTATTCGAATCGGGTTTGAGGTATACTTGAGTAGAGTTACAATACCGAATCCTTAGGAATCGTATTGGTACTTATTCAGGCCTCGGGTATATTTTACCAGAGGTAAAATATCGATTCCTAAGCAATCGCATCGTTAGCTATTTAGGCTTCTATATTACACCCCCCAGCTCGTCGGGGCCGTTTGTCGTTGGTCGCATGATGACCGCAACGGGTCAGAATCCCCTTGCAATCCCTCAACCTGCTAAACCCTACAAGTAGGTATACTAAGAGGATTCCCCTAAACCCTAAACCTTAAACCCCTGGTGCAGGTTTCCCAGCGCCAATTGCCTGACACAGTGCCACCAGCATGGAGTCAGGACTGTGTTCCTTTGAAGGGCTCCATAGGGCAGTTTAGGGTCACCGTCTACGTTTTCGAGCTTCGAGTCGTTGCCGGTACTTTGAATTCCTGAACGGGCAATCTCGGTTCGGTTGAATGGGCCAAGGGTCTGCTTCGATTATAACAGTATGTTCAACATGATTATAATATATAGGCCTTGATAGTTCGAAAAGGGTTTGGGGGTACATGTTGCTTTAAATCGTTTTTTACGCAGCTCCAGCATCTTATTAAGTATTTAGGCCACAATATTACCTGGGTACCCCCAGGCATGTCCTGTGAGCATCGTTTTGCGAGGGTTTAGGGTTCTAGGGTGAAGGGTCTCGGGGAAACCCCAGAGTCAGTTAGAATCACATGCAAGGGTTCCTCTTTTGGTTTCCCGATGGTAAGCTCTATTGGCCCGCGACATTGTAAGTATGATATGTCTGCAGCACAAAACCCTATTCAAACTATTTAGGCCCCGGTATTAGGCGGTTTACAGGTTCAATCTCCAGAGGCCTGAAAACAACTTGTGTGCCGATGCACCAATGAAGTCGCTGCCACTAACTACTACTACTACTACTACTACTACTACTACTACTACTACTACTACTACTACTACTACTACTACTACTACTACTACGACTACGACTACGACTACGACTACGACTACGACTACGACTACGACTACTACTACTACGACTACTACTACTACTACTGCTACCAAACCAACTACTACTACTGCTACTACTACTACTACTACTACTACTACTACTACTACTACTACTACTACTACTGCTACTGCTACTGCTACTACTGCTGCTACTACCACTACTACTTCTCTAC